TTTCCCTCTGCTACCCAACCCCTAAAGCTGCCCGTCTAAAATGACAAGTCAAAGATGAATTTGGTAATGATCCCCATTTGGGAATTCTGCTGTTCAAATCACATTGGGCCCAACCCAATCCAACCCAGTGCTCCCCCTGTTAAGTGCATAAGGGAATTCCTTTAAGTTTTTATCCATAAAGCTGTTGCTTCAGTGATAGTCATGCTGCAAAGACCTGTGCTGGGTGAAGCGCTTTTTTTTTCTACAGCTTAGGTGAAACAAGCCATGCACAGGAAACATGTTGGTCAGCTCTTATGAAAATACGGATTGCCCAGAAAATTCTTATCTTTATTTCCTGGGGTTTTGTGCTGCCACAGGATTGCTGTCTTCTGAAATCACACATTTGTTTCCGAGTGTCAACATGTTCCTCATTCCCCTCCTGAGCCCTGGGCACGTGAGACGGAGGAGGTACACAACTGCCAGAGACGAGAGACTATGAGGTTCCCCTCCAACCTTAGATGTCAGCCAAGAACTAACTGATTTACTGGGCTGGTCCTGCTGCCAATGAGCTTGTGATTCACGCACTAACTCCCCTCTCTGACCACACCACATATTTTCTATAAGGCTGTCTTAATGGGTCGGATGGGAATAATTTAGCATCTTCTTCATTAATATATGCTAAGCTTTATGAGATGGGGGCTGTACATATCCTATTCTACCCTGATGAGGCATTCTGTATGTTTACAGTGCTATCTGTAGCTGTAATAAAATACACACCTAACCAGACACATGGGAAATGAGACATATGCTTGGAGAGTTCATTTGAGAACTGAGCTGCAGGTAAAATACAGAAGAACCAATTTTCCAGCCAAGCACAGATATTTTGTTCCTGGCAATTCCACCAAGCTCTTAACATGAGAAATGAGGTTGATGGATAAAGCTGTGGTCTGATCATGCTGTCTCCAAACATCCCTGACACTTACATCAGCCCTTCCAGGCTCTCCAGGGACAGTTTCACATTGCAGCCCAGTACAGCAGGAACAGGCAGAGCTTTATCTGGATGTTCTGCAATGACTATGGTTACCGTAGGCCTGGGTTTTCCTGACATGTCCCTTCTCCCACCTGAAAGCCTGTCATGTTTGGAAAGGCGGATTCTGAAGTTTCCTGGATGCTTGATAGCCATAACGGGGCACAGCCTGATTGGAATGAGTATGAACATGTGCTGCGTAGCCATGTGCACAGCAACGCTGGGAGGTGTTGGCTGGATCTGTTGTACAGACATTGTCCACAGGCACCCTGAGTCCCGTGGGCCCTGACTGTGTGGGATTTATTGCCCCTAAGCTACACTGCACGTACACACTTGCTGCTCTCTGGAAACAGGAGAGCCATTACTGAGCTGAAGGTGAGGCTGGAGGTGAGAGAAGGTGGACAAAGGGGCAAAGTAGCATTTGCTGGATCACAAAGAAAATCAGGCTCTTGCAAAAGCACTCCCTGCATGTAAGCTTGTTAGGTTGTACTTATTTTCAGCGTGTGTAAGAAGCTCTCTGCTTCCATCTTGATACAACACTGTAGACTGTCTGAACACCCCTGTCCCACTCACAGATGTCTCCTCACAACATGTCTGGGATCCAGGGAAACTCTGTCCTGTTTTAGGATGCGCAGCAGAGCCCATGGGAAGAGGAGGCAATTGCCCAAACAGACCTCAATTCGTCTCCAACAGCTGCCCAGCTTTCCTGATTTGCCCCTGCATTTTTTCTCTGCATAGTTGCAGAGGCAGATTTGGCTTTGCTCTGGGACTTCTGAAAAATGCATCTTGTATGTCATGACCTGCCTGGCTTGTGACAACTGCACCAACTAATAAATGGGGGCGGAAAGAGAAATAGCTCAGCCAACTGTTTCCAGGGGACAGCGCTCGTTTATCTTGCTGGAGCGTGCTGCGAGCAGTGGGGGAGATGGCAGAGGAGGAGCCCCTGGGGCACGGAGGAGATGAGTATTGGCCCCACAGCCACTTGCTGAGCTGAGGCTCCAGCTCCAAGCCTGGTGGACAGCCCTCCTCCTCCAAACCACGTCTCATAACCCTGCCTGCGCGGGCAGCCCCTGTGCAGTGTGAAGGGGAGCATCTGGGTCTGCCACTGTGGAACGGCTCCAGGGCCATCAAGCCCAGGGACAGGAGGAGGCTGCACATGGCGTGTTTGTACCACTCCTCCTCTCCCGCTCTCAGTCTCAGCTTTATGGAACGTTATCATCCCTAGCTGCTAGCATCTCGGAAAGCCCCCAGCTGCCCAGAAGCTAACTCTTGTGCTTTTTTTAGTGGTGGAACGTCTCTGAGGCCTGGCTCTCACTCCTTAAATTCCTGCATTCCAGCCCGGCTGGAGCAATGCCCCCAGGCCGGGACATAATTGAATCCCAGGTGCTGCTGCCATCCCCCAGAAATGGATGGATATTAGTTCCCTCGAAGTGCAGGGACCTAGCCCTTGGCTCTCTCCCTGAGCCTGCAGTAGCCATGCTCTGTCCTGGGAGGCCGGGAGGCACGCTGGGCTTTTTAATCTTTCTGATATTATGCTTATGCTGGTGCATCGGCTGGCCCTGAGCTCCCCCAGCATGAAGGTGCACACCGCTGGATGGCTCTTACCTCTCACAAACACATAGGTGCTGACTGCTGTGGTGCCCTCGATTTTGGCATCAATGTACTTGTAGTAGCAGCGGTAGTAACCCGTGTCATTTGCCTGGGTCTCCGTCAGCACCAGGACTTTGCAGTATGGCTTTGTGCCAGTCCCCTCGCAATCTTCTTCTCGGATTGCCCGGCCACTGCTGGGGGTTGCTGAGGCCACCAACTGGGTCTTCTCCTTCCCGGCAGGGTCCACCTTGCCTCCGGGCCACGACCACTCCAAGGGGTGCTGGCCTCTAGACGTGGGCAAAGAGGAGAGTTAGCTTTGGGCCAAACAGGGTGAACGTGGTGGGGATTTAACTGCCCTGTGTGACTGTGCACATCTGCATGTGGCCCAGCCAGCCACTGCTGTCGGGCTGTGGCATGGAGGAACAGCCATCCTCTGAAGTGAAAAACAGGCGTGAGGCGATGGCAAGCACCTTCACTAATTGCTGGGCAAGCAGAGGCTCGTCCCCTTCCCCAGGCTACCTCTCTGGCCATGCTGAGCTGTAAGATATCAGCCCACTCACAAGCAGGTCTCCCCCTCCCATGACTTTGTCCTACTGGTATTGATGCCAGGACAGGGAGTCACATAGCACCCTGAGGGAAGAGCTCCATTCATTCTCTATTCCCTCTCATTATTAAAAGGGTCCAGAGCTATTAAGAAAACACACGGATGTGATGAGTTCCCTTGGCTCAGTGTAGCTGCTGGCTGGGCCTTGTGGTGTGATGAATGGAGTGGGAAGGAGAATGAGGGAAGGAGAGCAAACTGGAAAGAAAACAAGAAAGAGAAAAGCAGGATAAAAGACAGCAAGGAGAAAACAAGGGGAGGCTCAGCTGACCGCCTTCTATCCAGCTGCCAGCTGTTTCCTTCCCTGCTGCTGCAGGAGGGGGTTCCCTTGCTTTGCAGAGCACCCTGCAGCCCCTTCAACCCCCCGGCCCGCTCCCCTGGCTGGCCTGGGGCTGCTGCCCCTTCCCACCTCTGCAGAGACAGATACCACAGCTACAGATACCTCTCTGAGGGCACGACCGCAGAGCCTGTTCACCAGCGGCCCAAAGACAACCGGAAAAGTCCAGGAACTGCAAGAAACCCCCAGACAGAGCGTGCACGTGTGTATTTATATACAGCTGAGGATCTCCAGAGCGGGAGGCTTGCATATGCACATGTACGCACACGCGTGCCGCCACAGCTTGCTATAACTGCACTTGTTTACTACAAACAAAACAAGCTTTTATTCCATGCTGGAAGTTTCCTTCTGTGAAATCAGAGGCCCTTTCAGAGGAAGGTCTAGTCCCCACTTGAAAGTTTGCCAGTATAGCTGAAAGTCACTTAAGAACGTGCAAAAAAAGAAAAAAAAAAAGAAATGAGAAAAAAAAAGACATCGCAAGAGACAGCTGTGGGGGTAAAAATGGCCTTTTGTCAGCACCGTTTGCTCTATTAGGAGAAACTGGGTTCATCTATCATGCAGGCTGGGAATAGGCGTGTTGGCACACGCAGCTCCTCTGCCAGGGCCCTGCCAGGGCAGCTCTGGGGGCAGATGCTTTTGAGCGCAGCCAGACCATGACCATCACCAATAGCTGGATCCAGACAACAAGGGACAGCAAGGAAAAAGCGAGATAAGGTGCCATCGGAGGGCACAATGGCTCAGACGCAATGAGGACAGGATTTCTGTCCAAGTGTGGGGGGACGACCTGCCCCTTTGTGTTTGTCTTCAGCAGCGGATTTATCTTCCTGCAGACTTTGCTCTCTTCCAGCTCCCGCTGCCTAGTTTGTCACGGATGAGTTTGGAGACAGTGCGCTGCATTCTCCCCATGTCACCAGGCACAAGGGCTCTGGAGGCAGTGACGGGTCCTTGGGGACAGCCATGCAGCCCCTCTGACCCAGCTCAAACTTCTGCATTCGCTAAAAATGCCATCAGTGCCTGAGGCAGGACTGGAAGTACATCTCCACTGCCTTGTGTCCATGAATCACGGGCAGGTTTTTCCAAAGTATCAGCATCTCGCAAACACTTCAATAAAAATAAGACTCTTGAATTTTGAGTTTTTCCAATCCTATGCATACACAGGGAAAATAATAGTAAATCTGACACCAAACCAGTAACACTGCCATGCCCACGGCCCCGCTGCACCAGGCACAGCCCGTGGGGCTGACCACGCTCTCAACCCAGAGCCGAGAGCTTCAGCCTCTGAGTGCACAAAGGATCTCCAAAGCCCTTTGCGTTTGCTCAGGCATTTTCTGCACTCCACATGGAGCAGGATAATTGTACAAGCCTCCAGCGTTTCCGCTTTCTGTTTGTTTACCCACTGGGATTTTCACGCATTATCAGATCCACTTGTTTTATTAACCATCAAGGCTAGCAGTAGCTGAGTGACACGTATTTATATAAACACGGATGGGCCAGTACAAACAGACTTGCTGACCAGCCCATGAGCAGCTCTAAACTAAGGCATTCCTTGCATCATGTGCTGCTTGACCAGATTCAGTGGGGACACAGAAGGTGTAGGCATTAGTATGAGTCCAAGTTAATGTCACTGGTGCGTTAAGAGGACCAGAAGAAGGCAGGGATGAGGGCAGGTCAGACTCACTTGGATTTATTTCTGAATCTACTCTCTGCATATGGGGAAAGGTCCAGGCAGCAGTTTTGGATGGTTCCCTCCCTCCTATCTGTCACCTTTGAAGATTTGTTCCCTAGTTGTTTTCTTTCAGCTCTGTGATAATGTGCCTCTGGGCAACGGAGCCTTGCTGTTGCCAGCTGGAAAGAAATGCACTGTAGGCTTCTCCACAGCTGTTTTCCTAAATCTTTTCAGGACAGATGCTCTTCAAGGGAGATGTTGCAATTGGCACCACTTTTCTTCAATCCTCTTTGAGGCTCCCAAGCGTGGTATGATGGGCAAAGCTGGCTGTGGCTTTGTGGCTTAGCTGGGATAAGACAGATCTCCCCTCAGCACCACAGTTCACAGCAGTCACACACACGTAGGAAAGAGCAGCAGGTGTTGCGTGTCCCCGAACACTGCTCTGGAGCAGTCATGGTGGGGCACTGCCTTATCCTCGGGCTCCTTCAGCCCTGCCACAGTGTTCATTTCCTCCATGGAAGCCAAGAGGGCTCCGGCGTCAAATACTTCCTCTCTGCCAGAGTAGGGTTTGTGCGTCTGCAAGCCAGCTCTATTAACAAGTCACTGGGCAGCAAAGGACAACTTTGCCTTTCTTTTTCTAAATACCATGGCTGGGTGACACTCCCTCTCCACCTGAGTGCCCAGCACCTACGGGATGGGATGGGATGGCTGGGGCTCAGCTGGCACAGCCAGGACCAAGTTGATCCCTCCGGAGGTTTCTGCTGTCATGCAGCCAGCTCCTGTGGGCTCTGCTCCAATATTCATTGAGTCGGAACAGGACAAGCTCTCCGCTTTCCCCCAGTGCAGGCTGCTGTGAGCATGAATGCAGAGATTCACAATATTCTTTCCTTCCTTCTTGGGATGGGAGCTAATAAAAGATGCGCTGTCCATGTGGGCATCAGCTCCTTTGCCCTGCTCTGCCACATGCTTAGATCAAAACATCACTGGGGCTCTCAGCCAGCCCTGGCATGATCTGTAGTTTGGGGAAGGCTCCTACACCAGTCCCCTGCTCTGTCTGGACCTCTCAAGGGTGCATTGTGCTGGGTGACAAGTCACCGTGCCTGTATGTGACGCCATTTGCAAATGCACAGACCCAGCAGCTAGTGGCTCCTTACGGGTGTGCTGTGTCTTTGGGTCTCTGTTAAGCATGCCCAGCTCCAGAGGCATCGCTTATCCCATGGCCTGGCACAGACTCTGGTCACTGATGAGGCTAGGCAGGCTGTGGAGCAGGAGGGGGGCTGCAGAGCTGTGGGTGTGTGAGATCCAGGCTGCTGCAGGGGAGCCTGAGAGCGCAGTTGGCTGCAGGACTCTCACGCTCGGTGGGTGACGCTTGAAAGGCCTCCAGGGAGTCTCACACGGGGGGGTTTCAGCTCAGTTTTCTGCTACAGCACTGCTTCAGTAAGGCCCGTGCTCCTGGCTACAGGGCAGCTCGAAGAGCAGCCAGAGGACATTGTTCTCAAGGGAAGACCAGGGTCAAACCAAAGGCACCTCCACCACGATGCTCAGCAAAAAACTGGAGCCTGTATTTGATTTCGTATTTGTTTCGGCCCTCCCCTGCCCCACCACCCTCTCCTTTGCCTGTTCTCTTGGTGGTCTGCATGTTTTTCCCTTCAGCTCCCATTAACACAAGCCAGGTCTTCCCAGGGTGGGCCACGGTCCAGAGAAGAGGTTGGAGAAGCAGCTGGGTGTAATTAGAGATCCAGGGACCAGGAAAGATTTACTTTTCATTCAAATGAAGTAATAGTGTCCCACAGTCAAAATCCTCTCCTCAAGACATTAGACAAACACAGGCTTGAGAGCTCAGAGGGAGAAGAGGAACCTCTGAGCCATGCAGGAGATGCTGGGACTTATCTGCCTGCGGATGGTGCAAAGGACACTGCACGGTCC